CTAGAAACTAGAGGGCGCCACAGTGGTCACGTGACTCGTTGACGCAACAATATCTTTCATTTAATCTGTGATATTGGAACTAACATAAGCACACGCCTAAATGGGATCAGATCCGGGAATCAAAATAAAAATATATTTCAGTAAAAGACTGATCGATGAGTTAGTTTCATTAAGTTGTGGCCTTTTTATGTTTTATTTCTCAATACTTTTTGAAAGAACGTAAAATGTTGTCTAATTATTCTTATGTTAGATATTATTTGCAAGTTTGATCATAGTGTATCACGCCGTTTGGTGGTTGATCGAATATACCTAGAACTACAGCTAAGACATTTTGTGTCATAAGCAACATTAGGTATTATCAGAGGCAATATTTTATCTTTAAACCTGAAAAAATTTTCAACTTTGAAAAGTAGTAGTTGTATTTCACTAACAACGCAAACTTACCAATATACGCCAGTATCGCTGATACGTGTCTTTCGGAAAACTACACTTTAATCGTTTAGATACATTGACTTCCGCCAAATCAACTTGCATTTGTTTAACTTTAAGACTTGTAATGTAGGTAATTAACATGTAGAATTATTCACGCACTATTCTCTACGTTAAAATACTTTTATTTGCGAGCTTTTGGTCCTCTTACCCGAGCCTTCCTCGGGCAACATACAACGTACAGAGCGATAACAATTCGTTTAACAAATCTTTATCACTCAATACATTGTTGCCGATGAAGGCTCTAGTAAAAGGGCCGAAAGCTCATCTTGTATGATATTTCTTTTAAGCAAAATAATGAAACTTTTGTTTAATCCTAACATTCTCCTCACATAATCCAAGAACGATTATGGGTTTGCTTACCACGTTATGTTTTTTGAAAATTCGGATACTATTTTTTGATACTAAATTTACAAAGTTTTACGTCACTCTATAAATGTATTGTTGTGTCAGCGAGGTCACACGACTAGTGTCACGCCACGTTTCTAGAACTATCCTGTACCTTGGCGAATGCTCTAGCATTTACTAGATATAGGGTAGTCTGGTATATAAAAGAGGCTGACAACGTGACGGGACAATAATGTGTGTGTAGGTAGTGAGTAATTGATCTGCAGTGAGAAAGTATTGTTGAAGTTAACGTTCGTTATAGCGTTTGTTTTAGCGCGAATGTTGAAATCAAGTGTATCATGAAGTTATATTCAGAAAGAATAAACCAGTTTTATTAAGTAAGGACTTGTGTCGCTAAAGTTTCGTCGGAACGGAGTTACGGAAAGTTAATTAACAAACGGAGACGTAACAGTATTGAAAATCTTTGCAATATCATTGAGTTTTTCATATAATATCATTAATATAACTGATTAGTGAGAGTAAAGAAGAATGCAATGATATGTACCTTGGTACGGTACCCCTCCTCGTTAGGAGGCTACATCAATTAGCTAAGGAGTCCACTTGCCAGCTTCAAAACTGTAGGAGGAGTTCGTCGACAAACAGACAGACAAATTAATAAACAACGTGAATTAATATATAGGGTTACCTATGTGAAAAAAAAAAAGATAGGCAAAAAGAGTTTATACACTTCAACTTCTTTTCGTCTATATCATAACTGATTAGTAAATTATTTCGATGTGAATGTCCAAAAACAGCGACACTAGACGTTGATCCACAAAGTATCGATTTGTTTGTTTGAAGTTAAGCACGAAGCTACACGATGGGCTTTCTGTGCTCTGCCCACCACGGGTATCGAAACCCGATTTCTAGCGTTGTAAGTCTGCAGACATACCGCTGTAACAAAGTGTGATACACCGGTTAAGAACAGAGAGTGTGATTAAGGTCTTATTGTATTTATGTGAATTGTAATAAATATTTGTGTTTTAATTAAATTGCTTCAGAAAATTATTAAAGAGGGGTTGGGGTTTCATTTGAGCCGTCTAAACAACCTGAAGCTAAAATACTGATGCATCGAAGTAATAAACAATTCGTTTAAACAGTGATTATACGACAGGTTATCAATGCTTACGTTTATACTTGAGAATGTCATCATGAGATAATATCCACTACAGGCACTTGTGTTTAATTTTTTTTTGCTAAAATTATAATAAATAATTAATTAAAAACAACGTTTTATATTTACACAATAAAAATTGTGGAAGTATAAAACGTTGTTTTTAATTAATTATTTATTATAATTTTAGCAAAAAAAAATTAA